AGAGAAGGTGAGCAAACATATTAAGAACAGTATGCCATATATGCCAGGTCCCTTGAAACAGCAAGGATGGACCGGCTCCCGGCAACCGTACCCTTTTATGTAATGATGTTTACTTTGAATTTATATTAGTTCACACAAACACTCCATCCATGCTTTTGTTCCGGCCCTCTGGTCCAGTTTAAGAACCCATTGTGGCCCTCGAGTCAAAAAGTTTGCCCACCCCTGCACTAGAACCAAATGAAGTACCCTGTTTTCTTGCCCCCATCTACATAAAGTAACTCAGGTGGTCAATCTGTAAGAAGGCTGTCACTAATCATCAATGAAATGGTTAAAACAAGGAGATGGAGAGGCGTTTTTTGTTGTTGTTGTTTTTTAAATTAAACAAAATTTCTTATATTTAAAGAATTATCTTCTATTCTTAAATTGTGTTCTTCCTACTTTTAGGTATTAAAATGCCCTTTTATAAATACATATTGGTAGGGTTTTTGGTTTTTGTTTTTTAATGCACTTATATGACAAAACAAAATGTTGGTATTTCTGTTGTTTCCCAAACCTGTTTGCTGGCCTTTAAACTATTACCCTATAATTGCGCATGACCCCAAGAGAGATAGAAAGTCCACTCCATCATTCACAAGCACAGATGAACCCTCACCTAGGGGGCCTGAGACCATGGCCTTGATTGAGAGGACAGGGACACTTTGAAGAGCCTTGGATTGAGAAAAACAAAGAGCAGTGATATGCTGCAATCCCTTTACTCTGATTTACACACAGGACACATGACTTTCCATAGCCATGGCAACTAGCCAAAAATGATAAGGCTGATTAATTCCACAAGTGCATTAATTATTCACATGTCACCAAATATTGACTCTTACCAACCCTCCTTCCCCCCAGCCATCTGCCCTGGTGTGTCAAATCAAAATAAATCAACAAACAAAAAATGGCAGGCAGCTGACACCCCAGGGAGGCTGCAGCCATTTGTACAGTTCCCAGTGTTAAGCTGAGTTCTGAGTGGCTACCCCGTTTCTCCACCCCCCTTCCCCATTGACGAGCAGTGCATGTGCACACATGGATGCACACATACATGCGCATTCACACGCGCACACACACAATGATATGGGTATGTAAAGGGGAAATGCTTGGAAGCAACTGGGGTGAAAAAGACAAAAGATCCTAGGAAATAATGATAATAGGAGACCATTTATTGAGCTCTTATTATATGCCAAGCATATAAATACCACAATATGTTTAATCTTCACCACAACTCTGAGATATAGGAACTATTATTATTCCCATTTTATAGATGAAAACTAAAAGTCATTATATTAATCAACTTGCCCAAAGCCAAACATCTAGCATTTTATGGTCTGAAATCAAAGGTAATGCTTTTAATCCCTACATAAGCCGACTCACCGTTGCTGCCACCTGGACATGTTTTGCAACCTCTCTGAGCCTTCATTTCTGCATGACAATAATGGGACAATAATGGTACCCAGTTTACAGGGTTGTTGTGAGAAACTGATGAGCTCATACATGCAATGTACTTGCAATAGTCCAGGCCCATAATAAGTGCTCAGTATGTATTGGCTGTTACTATCGATATGATTGTTATTTTTATTACATAATATTGTCTTCCTTAGTTGAATGAAGGGAGTGTGGAGGACAGATTTCACAGGCAAAGAGGATATGTTTGGGTGTGTGAGCATTCTTAAGGATCTGGTACCAAGAGAACTACATTTCTACTCGCAAGCAGAGGGTGTCATGTTCTCTATCCCTGCCCACACCACGTGGTGCCTTTCCACGCCCTGTGGATTTCTGAGCATCCTGTTTTCCTCTAACTTCCTTCTGTCTCCGCTCCTCTGACAGCTCTCCAGGGAGGCCATTCACCCATCTTCCATCGCCCTCTCTCCCTGAGTCAGCGGATAGACTGTCTGGTGAGCAGCGGTTAGGATGACTCGCCACATCCATGGCTTGGCTGTGGTGTGTGCCACACCTGCAGAAACTCCCAACAGTGGGAGGG